TACATGGTGACCAGCAGTAACTGAATATGGATACATATAGACAGGAGCTGGGATTTTGTATCTTGTGATGGTCCATACACCCATGTGGTGTGACCTCTGCAGAAGAAACACAAAAGCTACATCATCTTTTCTGCTGTTGTCTCATGTTCAAAGAAGTAGAATTAGATTAATTATGATCACAATAGTGTTTAAAGCTTAGAGGGACTTTCCTTCCCAGATGATTTTTCCTTTTACAAGGAACAAGTAAGGTTTCGTTCTATGTCAGTTGACTTGCAACCTAACTGCTTTAGTTGATAGGAAGCACACATCTATCATTGCTAAATTGGGCTGTGATGGCTGTATTCAAACAGTTCAAAAAACCTCAGAGGTTTAGCTTTCTATATAAAACACAGATAGTCTTTTGCTAGTTATCTTACATTTGAGGATTTTGGTAGAATGATCTGAGCTAATGTGGCTGTCTTGAACTATCTAGATCTCATTTAGGTAGCCACTTTATATATTATTTTGGAATATAAATAAAATCACTTTTTTTGTTGTTCTAACTAAACAAATGTTTTGTCCTTAGATTCAATGCATCTCCCTTAAGCTTCCCAGTGCACCAGAAGAACTGTTGCTGTATTTCTCAAAACGCAGTCTGTCAACTGAGAAACAGTCAGCAGGTTCACATTGAACAGTATTTCCAGTTAAATCAGCTATAGGCGTGCAGTAGTTTCCTTTCTTCTTCCTCTTCTCCTGTCTGCAGTATTTGGCAATAGTTTGCTGCTCAGAACAGTATGAAAATGACTGTTTTATGCTATTACGGGTACCCTGGAAGATGAGGAATTTAACAAAAAACAGAATGAAATGTGCCTTCAGACTGTTATATTGGCCACATTTAAAGTCAATGTGTGCAGGAGGTGCTCCAAGATGAAAAACTGCATGGTGGTGACTGGAACCTGCGCATACTGTTCCTCTTTCCACGCTTTCTTGTTGCCTAAGAATCTAGAAATCTGCCAGAGATTAATAACTTCAACAATGTGTCTCCAGAGAATGTTGCAACTCAGTACTTAAGGGCACCAAATCCATGCAGAAGTGTTTAGGCCCAGAAATGCACTTGTCTTGCTTACTTCCTTCCTGTTAATTCTCCTACTGACAAAAATAGTACATAAAGCCTCTTACATTTGTGTGCCTACCCTAGAGCTGCAGCTTTTAAAGTCACTGGGTCAGGAGCCAACTCTTGTACATCGTCAACTGTATTTAGGTCCATAGCTGAACCGCTATGTGTAGTGATATATATAGAGAGGGAATGACTTTTTGAGAATGATATTTAAAAGAGAAGACCTTAGTGTACATAGTTTAGAAAGACTTCACAAATTATTGTTTGGTCTAAACCTAGGGGAGAACTGTAATCCATCAAGAACAGCAGTACCTTCTCATGTTTGTGGTGGCTGACTAAAACCACTTTCCTGATGGATCCAGTGAAAAAGTCTTGTTAAGACATGAACATGTACCAGAAAGAGTTCAAGAAGCTGTTGCGGTCCTTGGTGATTCTAGGCACAGTTATTAGTAAAAGCTGTGAGGGTCTAGTACTTCTAAGTCTTCTTCCAAATGGGAACTGCCTAGTCATGGTGCTAGTAAATGGGATAATGATGGCTGAAGAGACATACATCATCTGCAGCCTTCACATCTGGCCTCTGACCTTCTTGCGAGACAAGTGTTTGCAGGAAGGAAGGCTGCTTAACACATCTTGCAGTTGTTGCAGCAGAACTTTCTAGATTTCAAAGCAACCATGACAAGCTTTTGTTTGCCTTCACTTCTCTCCTTTCTTTAAAATTCCTGCTCCTTACAATTTGTTCTGCAGTCTTTTGTAACAGACATCACTGATGTCATCACTGATAACCAAAGGTGAGACTTTTCTACCTCTGTTGAGAGGAAGGAGTATTGTGTAAGCAGGGATTACTTTTTTGGTAGAATATCTTGTTATTTTAGGTCACTCTATGGAGTGATTCCTGAACCTGCACATAGTACTTCTGTTAGAAGGTTTCAGCTCATGAGCTGTGTCCATATCTGTTAATGCAAGACTCATATCTACTCCAAAAACTCTTTAAAATCAGCTGAAAGCATTAAAATTGTCTCTACAAATGCTGTCATCATTTGGCCTTATACCATCCTGGGGGAAAAAAGACGTTTAGAAATGTATTAAGGCATAGAGAGTGAAGCATCTGCCTGGGTAAGATGGGTGGATTTGGACAAAGTTCTTTGAAGCTTTATCCAAATGCAAAGGATAAATAGATGGGTTATCAAATAGTTGATTTTTGCTGACCTGCTACATGCCTAAGATTTTACAGCAGAAGTTGCAGCAGGTGAACTGGCAGAGAAATCTACATAGCCCTCCTTATGGTTGTATGAGGCTGCTGATGTTACCTTCTTCTCTTGCTTTTGGTTTTCCTAGCCTCCTTTTTTGCTATGTTGCAGAGACAGAGCTGAATAAACAGTTAGTGCTGACTGTCAGGGGAAGGAAGGTGGACGCACTGATTCAATATTAACCTGTTGAGGATAGCTGCAGACTTCAGAGATGGTGAGCATGAAACTCTTCAATTAGCATATTAGCAGCTTTGGGATGCATCCTCAAAATCGCACTTCTGGCTTCACGCTCCTTTCTCTGGCGTGTTTCTTTTACCCAGGGGAAGTGAAACATTCAGATCTGCTACAGTCTCTTGGGTTACCCCCCTCCCCATGGGCAATAATCAAGTGAGGAGGGAGAGTGTTAAAACTATTTATTTCAGTCCCTCTACTCAGTATGGCAATGTTAGTCAATAAATACTATTAGTCTTTAAAAGGAAAATTGCAGAGTAAAATGAAAGGAAATTGGCAAACTCCCTAGTGTTGTGAACAAATGGAGAAGTAAAAGTTGTGTCAGGGCAGAACTCTCAGAACTCACGTCAGGGAAATAAAATTGAGCTCCTGAATTTGTTAATAAGCTGACTTCTTTTATCATTAAACTCTACTACTACTCTTTCTCAAACACTCGTTTGAAACTGTCTGTAAGCTGTGGGTCAGCTGACTAAGCAGTGTTTTTCACCTAGGCCTAAATAAAATTGCAAGGTGAAGTTGAAGTTTCACACATCTTTGTAAAGGCCACTGTGTTGGACAAGCTAGTGCTGCTTCAGAGGCTTTTTAGAGCAGAGCATTTTAGAAGCACATGCTTAGGGGTAAACTTTCAAAAAAGCTGTAAGTTCTGGAAAGTCTGAACTTCTCCTTCCTAAGAGAAGTAACTGTTCCTCTGTCCCTGTTTTAAAGGAAGTAAGCCTGTCTCCCAAGGTTATTAAAAAACCCCCAAACTGTTAGCGCACACACATGTATACACACATGTACACATAAATGTTCTAGGAGATGCCTGGGAAGAACATGTCCCAAAGCAATTTTGATACTTATATTCTCAAGTAGGAGAGAATATGAGTATAAATATCTTATATATGGACCAAATATGTCAGTACATGAGATTTAAGACTGTAGAGGGTTTGAATTCTAATCATACTATGTGTCTGAGTCTCTGTGCTGTGTCCCTCATCATTTGAGCCTCCCAGCTAACTTTCCTGGATGTGTACTAGTGCTATTAAATATGATTGAGGGGACACTTCTAGGAAGCCATCTTCATTGTCTCAAACTTGCATTTTATTTGGAAGATCGATCAGCTGCAAACGTCCTTTCCTGTCTGGAGGTCAGATGTGTTGTATATAAAGGAATACATTTTATTGATTGGTAGAGACTTTAGCTTCCAGGAGCTGTTCTGGACAAAAGCTAACTAGGCTGAGCTGGTTTAGTGAATGTCTGGCACTAACCCATCCTGGCTTATTTTTTTTCTGGTATCTAAATCTCATGTGAATGTTTGAAATGCTGGGGAGGAGGGGGAGGAGGAGGAAGAGGAGTTTCTTACAAATTGGGCTATACAGAAACTGTTGTAATGCGTTAACACTGATTATGATGAAGCAAACTTTAGGGCCCTTGGGCTGATAATCAAATAGCAGGTTTGTGAAGGGATCTTATGTTAGACTAGTTCAGGTACTTGTATACTTCTAAGTGCTATTTTAATAAGCTTTCACAAGAGGGCAGAGTAGAATTTGCTCAGGGAATTGTAGTTGTCTTGAGACTTACGTATATCTAGAAATGAGCCAGCTTGGATTCCTTTGGTGTTACGACAGCATAGGCTGTATTATTCATGCTGGCCACCTGTATTGCATACCATCCTCGGCACCGGGTGGCTGCTCCCCAACAGTGTCCCAGGGAAAGCCATAGTCTCAAGTGTCCTCCCCCGGCAAGGGAATGCTGGAGTGTGGAGGGGGAGAGGTCTGTACATGTGCCCCTTGCACCACCACTGTCAGTGTTTGCTTGTTGTTCATAGCTAAAACAATCACGTAGCTGTTGTTAGCACAAAAACCTTGGTAGTTGCTAGCACAAGGTAATGCTGTGGCACAGATAAGTGAGATTTTTATAGTTTGTGAACATAATAAAAGAGATGCTGCTTGAAAGCAGCAAGGTTTCCTTGCAACATGTTGAGGTGTGGTAAAATGACCAAGAAAACTACTTGAAAAGGAAATACTGTGTATCTCTAGCTTTATGAATCTTTAAGTATGTTGGCAAATTCATTTATTACAGTTATTACGATAACAGAACCATCATCTTTTTTGAAATGCTTTAGAGTCTGTAGAGAAAGCTAGCTCCCTTCATCCCCTTTCTTTATTAGAGAACAAACTGAGTTAGTTTTTTCTTGGAGCATCTCAGAAGTATACTTTCAATTCTTTGTTGTACCTTAGTACTGTGCATTCCAGTAGTTTAGCTAAAAGAGCTGCTTCTGATCTTTCATCACGCTTTGAAGAGTTTTCTGGACGGTTACCCCATACAATTCAGTGCTCCCTCAATTAATGCAAATCAGTTGACATTTAGCATTATAGTATTTTCTGTATGTGAAGACTTTAATGTTCTTTTTTTTTTATTTTATTTTTTTTTCTTTCCTCCTTCAGATTGACCCCAAAGATTACACTTTTTCTGGACTTAAAGATGAAACTGTGGGTCGACTGCCTGGAAAAGTATCAGGGCAACAATTTGTCATTCAGGACTGTGAGAACTGTAGTATCTACATATTTGACCATTCTGCTACAATCACTGTTGATGACTGTGTAAACTGCCAAATCTTTTTAGGACCAATAAAAGGCAGTGTGTTTTTCCGTGACTGCAAAGATTGTAAATGCATAGTGGCCTGTCAACAGTTTCGCACTCGAGACTGCAGGAAACTGGAGGTATTCTTGTGCTGTGCCACCCAGCCCATTATTGAGTCCTCCACGGGTATGAAGTTCGGATGTTTCCAGTACTATTATCCTGAGCTTGCTTTGCAGTTTAAAGATGCTGGACTGAGTATCTTCAATAACACATGGAGCAACATTCATGACTTTACCCCTGTGTCAGGAGAAAATAACTGGGGCCTTTTGCCTGAGAATGCTGTAGTCCAAGATTATGTTCCTCTGCCCAGCTCTGAGGAGCTGAAAGCTGTTAGAATTTCTACTGATGCTACGAGGAGCATAATACCAATAACTCGAGGACGGAGACAGAAAAACAGCGATGAATCATGTTTGGCCGTGTTTTTTGCTGGTGACTACACAACTGCAAATGCCAGGAAGTTAATTGATGAGGTAAGCAACCTTGCTCTGCATTCAGCTTTTTGAATTTCTAATTGAACTTTTCTCTGGACAACCTTTGGTGCTCTCTGAAGGGAGAACACAGAGGCTCTGCTTGTCTACTAACTGTACTGATTAACTGCACTGTTTAAAACCTTAAAACAAGGTAAGAGACTGGAGCTCATCTGATCAGACAGTTGTTTTACGGCGAACATCCTGTGATTGGCACATCTATCCTCTAGTAGTTCCAGTGCACTTTTCTATCATGGCACACCAAAGCTCTGTTCTGAAGAAAATACCTAGTTGATGTGATGAACTTAGCCAAAAGTAGAGTAAGTGATTGGCAAAACTTGTGAAAGGGGTATAGTCAATTACCTTGTTAGTTTATCACCCTAACAATCAGCTAACAAAACAGTATGTCCTGAAAGTTTTTCCAGGACTAACGGAGACTTTTTTTTTAAAAAAAAAAAAGTTACATTGCATCCCCCTTGCCACCCAGTATTGGAATTTTTTTCTGGAAGAGGCAGTGAATGTTTGTCACAGCTGGTCAGCTGTCTTTGATTACTTAAATAGCTGGTGCTGTCTTTTTTTTTTTTTTTTTCTTTCCTGTGAGGCAGCAGCTCCTAAACTTGGCTGAGTTTGGGCTTTCCTGGGGCTAAAATCTGGGAGTGGCTGGCTGCTTTTAGCACCCCAGAGTGCCAGGGATGACAGAGCAGAGCCAGAAACCATGAGCTACAGCTTCTGAGAAGTTATATTCTTTTGCTATCTATGAAAGCTGCTGATCCCAGTGTTGTATGATCAGCAAAATAACCGATGGAGCTCTTTCCCTTGGGTTGTTAACTGCAGAAAGCTGTTAAAGAAAGCTGTAGGGTGTTTCCATGTTCTCACTATTGCCCGATTGGATTTTTTTGGAATTGAGTTACTAACAAGTACTTGAGTAAAGGGAGATAATGATACTTATGAGTTGTTTTTTTCTGAAGAAGGAATAGCTGCAGTAAAGAGGATGTGTTCTCCTGTGTTAGTAGCGCTTTAGATGTTAGAGTTCAGAAGACAGTAAAAGGCTAGTTAGTGAGAATCTGTGGAAATATTACTGCTGTATAGATTAATGGGTTCAAATTAATGTGATACAAATACAGTTGTTCCTCTCCACATGCTTTTAGTGTTGTATTAGATTTGAAGTAAAAAGCTGTGTGTATTATAAAGTTTGTAATTATTTTTCCAAAATGGAAAAATTCAGCAGTGGATAGATGAGAGTTTCAACTAATGCTTGACTGAACTATTGCAGACTAATGAGAACTGCTTGACTCCAGATGCTGAATGCTTTTAAATCCCATTAGTTTCAGCTTGTGAGGGATTGTGGGGAAAAAAACACAACCCTGGGCTGTAATATAAAATAAAAACATTCACATTTACTCCTCTAGGTGCACTAGGGCAGAGGAGAAAGTCTGGATGAATGGAATAAAAATAAACAGAAATGTAGAAAGAGCAAATGGTCTTTGAAAAGAGCAAAAAGGGTCACTTTGCTCTGTGGCTTAATGTGTATGGGGAAAATGGGTCTATTCCAGTGTAACCTGGATACTCAAGCTGAATTCTTGACTTAGAAGCATTTCTAACATGAACTCTTTCTCTGTTAACAGATGACTGGTAAAGGCTTTCAGCTGGTACAGACTAAAGAAGTCTCAATGAAGGCAGAGGATGCTCATAGAGTTTTCCAGCAGTGTGCATCAGAATTCATTCCACTGCTTGAAAAAGGTGAGTTTGTGTTGTTTTCTTTCTCTTGATATAGAAATCTGGCTGTCATTAGAGAATTCTGGAGAAGAAAGGGGAACGAAGGAGAAATTTGTGTTTCAAGGCCATAGTGTAAAGCCAGTTGAGATGAGTTTTGGAAGCCTCAGTGAGGCCCTAAACCAGCCAGAACTCCTAAAGGCATCAGAAAAGAGCTATTCCACATGTATTTTGTGGCTCTGCCCCCCCTCTAGTGGTCCAGCTACATAGCCCAGGACCAGTGGCAGATGCAGATCTGTCTGTGGTGGTCAGAAGAAGCTTGTGCTTTTAGACTGTTTTGAACTTATCACCACTGCTGCTCAACCACCTCGATGTTCAGTGTTTCTGTATACATATTTAAGCAAATCGGTATAGATGTGTATAAAGCATGCAAGTGTTAATTTCTTGTTTGTCACTGGTGTACTGTCAGAGTATTTCAAAAGCCTTTTTATTGATCTGACTAATTGGTTTTTGTCTCTTCCTGAAGAAGTACTGACATCTTGCCATCTGTTACATGCTAAAGCTCAATACATGCTCCCAAACTTAGTAGCAACATGCGGGTTTTTTTAGAGTAAGATAAGAGTTCTGTGGTGCTCATGGCAAGAATAGGATAAAAGTTATTGTACTTATCAGACAAGAGTCTAGTTTAAGGGTTAATTTGAGCCCATGTGGGAAGAAATATCATGTTCAGAATGAAACCAGAGAAAGGGGATCTGCGAATAGTGGGTGAGAACACGTTTAAAAATCAGGCAGTTTGCTATATTAGGACTGAGGCAAAAATGCCTGAATGACTCAGTCCTACTCCAGATGTCTGTGAAATGGCTCACTATTTGAGCAATATAGTCTGACTCACTTCCATGATGCCCTGCACTCCTTAGAATTTTGGTGTCATTGCAGCCTTTCCAGAAGTAAACCTGGAATCCTGCCAGAATCTCTGCAAAAATGATCATGGAATTCCAGATAATTTATTCTTTGGTAACACTGTACTTTGAAGATATGGTTAAGTGTTTTTAATTCTTTATCCTGCATTATGGCAGCTCAAGTGAAAAACATAAAATGCTTCTTGCAGGCTTCACAATTCCCTATGGGTTGAGAGATCTACTGTTTCAATGCCAAGCTTAAAAGTAGTATTGATTCTAGATGAAACTGTCTTCTAGGTCCAGTGGTTGCTTTGGAGTTCGATGGAGATGGTGCTGTGGAAGGATGTCAAAGCATTATAAATGATGTTTTTAGTGGGACCAAGGTAAGTTGATGCATTGCTTTTATTGGCAGAAAATTTTACAGAGTGTCTAGGATGTTTCGTGGTCAAGATGTAGTGTTGATGTACTGCACCATCTTTTTAGGTTTCTGAATAGTGAAATCTGAATATCCTATTTTTTTGTTGTTGTTTTGTTTGTTATTTTTGTACTCAAAACTCAAGTTGCTTGTCAGAGAAGAAAAATTGCCCCGGGAAAGAGTACTAAATCCCCATTTCCATTGAAGAATAGAAGATTTACACTTGAAACTGTTATTTCACGTAATAGTTAAAACAAGTTCAGTAAATATAGTGGAGAAAAGCTCTGCTCCAAGTCTTATACTGGAGTCTGCTTTGTGATGTCCTAGCCTATTAAAGCCCAACAAAGATAATATGATGGGATGTTTTTCATGGTTTACTTTTACAAAAGTGTAGGGTATTGCAGAATGCCTTCCTTCAAAGGCATTTTTCTTTTTTCTTGTTTCACTGTAGCTTCTTTACACCACACCTCTTCTTTGCTTGCTGTCTCCATTCCTCTGAATGGCATTGGTTTTGACAGAGTTTCTGTAAACAATTGGAGCACCCTGATAACAAAGTGACAAACCCTTTGCTTTCAAGTAGCTGTTCAAAGAACACTAGAATGTCTTTGAGACATAGTGTCCATACAGCTCCTTGCTGTCTTTCCTTTCTAAAGAGTTACTCAGAACTACACTGCCCAGTTTGTGGAAAACAGTTGCCTTGTAATAAGTCATCTCAAAGGCAGCCAGTGTTTGCTTTTTTTGCATTTGCTATTGCACCAACAAAAACCTGATGTGTAGTAGGCCTTAATTTGGTGCTCTGAGTCTGGAGAAAACTAGAACTGGGCAGTGTTGTGATAGCACTGATTATTCTTGTATCTCAAAAGTCATCACTGCAGATTTTACCATAAAACTGGGCTCTTTAAGCAGGAGCTTCCAGTGGCTTTTTTTAGTGTGGTTAACATTTTTTTTATTTTATTTTTTTTTTTTTTTTTTTTTTTTTCTGGTTCATATAGAACTTTTTCTCTATTCGGAGACTGAAGTGATATTAATTAGTAGAACAAATAAAATTTTGTATTTTTCTCACTAAAATGACTGGTATCTGTTGTTATAACACTGAATGGCCTAATCTGCAATGCATCCAGAAACTTGAGACTGTGTGCTTCATGCTTTGAAGTAAACATTGTTCTTGGAGGTGATCTGTAGAGTTTGGATTCAGTTCCAAACATGAAATTTACTGCATCTGGATTTGCATCTGTAAACTCTGTTTACAGCCTGTTTCCATAGGAAAATCTACCTTGCTTATTAAACATTTGCTGCACTGAATTAAGAAGCAGAATCTTGGGCTTCCTGAGAAATATATATCTTTATTTAGACTAAATGTAACTCCAAAACTTCTGATAAACACAATGCTTGGGTGTGTATCCCTCGATAACTGAATATCATGAATATACTTTTATTTTTAGAAAATGTATTTCTTTCTTGGGACATAATTTAAAAGCAATTTCAGGAGTATAACAAACTTCAGATTTATCACTACCAGAAGGTTCAGGAATGCTCTATTAAATAGTTTCACCTCATTGCTGGCTGCCCTTATCATGCTTGAGAGTTGTTATAGTGCTCAAAGAATTACAGGTATCCTTGATCAAGAAACAATGGCAGAAGCACTTAGGAAGACATGTATCCTGTAAGACTTTGCAGGAGATTAATCTGCTTTTCAGCAGGTGGCTACATTTGCATTTGAAAGCTACGGTTAAAAATTTTTCAATTCATCTGTTAATAACCTTAATTTCACCAGGTTTTTGTTTCTGAAATAAATATGATAAACAACTCTAGATACTCTAAACAGTAGAAAAGTTGTTCAGCAGTAGCACCACCATAGTTTTTTTTGAGTTGTTTGGTAGAAACGATGTGTTACAAGGAGAGCTCTATGCTGTGCACTTAAGCAGACTGCCTGTTTGTGTGGACTAGGTAGGTCTGCACTCTTTACCTCTGACATTCTTTATGATGTGACTTTTTTGGCATGCTTTCTAGTGGTGTTCCTCCATCTCATCACTTATACATACAATTTACATTTTGCAGGTTATTTTAATGTTCTGGTAGGGAAGGATGGTGGAAGAAGTTATTTAATTGTTGTGACCATGGTACTAGTCGCTGTCATGCTAAACAACTGCAAAATAATTAGTAGATGTTTTCAAGCCCCTTCAAACAGGAGTCTACCATGTGTCCAAGCAACAGTCTAGGAAACTACTTGCTTTGTGATGACACTTTTTTTTTTTTTTAAATCAGAAATTTACTGGACAACAGGACATTCATTTTAAAACACAGTTTAATTAAAACAATTCAAGGAACTGTCATAGTTTACACTGACATGGTATTCTAAGCTGAAGCAGAAAAGTGGTGACTGTAGGAGCGTAGTCATCTGGAATAACCCATTCCTAACAGCCCCGGTGCACTTCACTTGGCTCAGTTGGCTGTGCTGACACTGATATGCTGAGACAGTGATGATTTCCTCCTGAGGTATAGAAAACAGAAGATAGTAAGAACTTGAATTTTTGATTGAGGCTATCACTTGTGTGTTCAGATTGATTAACTGTTGCACTGAACTATTTGAGCATTGCCTAAGGCATTTGTAGTTGAATTGCTGAAAGCTTTCAAAGATGACTGTCCTAGAGCTTGGACTTTCACATGCACTGATCAATTTTACAAAATGCAAATATAATTGAAGTTGTTTAAAAAAAACATCTGATGAAGAAGCAACTACCTTTTTTGAGGGGAATATAGTGCAAGTGAGTCTTTCTTATAAACTCTGCCTTTCTGTTAAAGGAAATCTTAATGGCAGTCTGAAATTTTTGTGTGTTTTTCCGCTCCTCTCCTGGACAGTTTGACTTTACCAAGCAAAATGCATCTAAATGGACACTAGCTGAAGCTGTGACCCCTCAATGATGGAGCGCAAAACTTTTAGTTCCCATCAGTGGAAGGCTAGGGTTACTGCAGCTAGGATGTCTGCTTGGAACAGGTGACCGTAACAAAGGGTGTATCAGGGCAGAGAGAATTCTAAGACTACTCTATGATGCAGTGAAAACCAGCAGAGTTGTGCCTCTCATGAAATCCAAAAATAAAAATAACCATTACTGACTCTGAATGAGCAAAGATTACTTGAACTTCTTTATTACTGATGCATAACTATTTTCTTGTTTAATAAAACAGGTTTTTGTATCAGAGAGCAAGGCATCAGCGTCTCAAGATGTGGACAATTTCTACAACTTTGCTGACATGCAGATGGGAATGTGAGATTTAACACGAAGGTGTTCACATACGGTTTGTCTCAGAACTTGGATGTCACTTTGCTTGAATATTGCATTAGTATCTGATAAGTTTTGTCATTTGGTTTTGTATTTCTCATATATCCCTTTTATAAAGCTATTGGTGGTTTTAATACCATATTACCTGAACTGGAGTAAATGGCATAGCTTCCCATGTGCGTTGTGTTTGAAACTTTCAGCTCAAAAAACAATGGAGGTTTTCTACTAACTTTTCACAGTGATTTCTAAACTTCTGCTCACACTTGAATATTTCTTGTCAACACCTAATGGTAATATATATTTGAAAAGTGCGATGTTGATCCAAATGTGATGCAGTACTAATTTTTATCTTTAACTCGGACATATTGTTTAGAAAGTGTGTGTATGTGGAACTCGCTGTTCAGAACTTTCCCACATGCAAATTTGTCTTCGCAGGGGGCCAGGGAGGAAGCTGTAGCCGTTGACTTTTTCAGAAAAACCTAGTCTGAAATGAATTCTCCTTACACCATACTTTCAGAAGCAGTGCATGACTTAAAATGTACATCTGGCTTACTCTGCTTCAGCATATTTTTTGAATAAAGTTGTTTGCAACAGCATTTATTATGAGAGTTGTCATAACAGCATTCTGGTAAGTGAGCACTTGCCAGGCTCTTCAGCTTTGAGGTGAACTCTGAGCATGAGTGCTCTGCTGGAGATCCTCTGAGGTCTACTCAAGGTCTCTGGCGATACAGCTGCCTCTGATACTCCTAAGTCACATATGGGATATACATGAGGCTCCCTTGGGCTTGGAGCATAAGTCTCTGGCATTGTTATTGTTTGCTAGAAAGGACATAGAGCAATCAGGTGTCAAAGAAGGGCTCTGATGGTGTTAAAAAAAACCCTCTTCCTCGATAGACCTCAGGAGAAGGGTTTTACACTCAGTAGTAGTACAGAAAATTTGGCTGTGAAGTACTATACGCTACTGTAGGGTTTATTTTGGGTTAATTCTAAAAACAGACTGAGGAAGTGCTACTAGCATTTTGGAAGATGCATTTGAATAGTGATCAGCAAGGATGCTTATTGCTATATAGTGCATATTAGAATGCAAATCTATATGGATATTAAATACATGATTGATTTATTTTTGCATATTACATCATTACTGATTATTTTACATGAACTTAAAGCTTATGTCCAGGTTTACAAGCCTTCTCTAATACTTGAACAGATTGTGCATGCAGATGCACAAAACCAAATTTATTAATTAAAACTGTGGCTTGCCAGTTTATGTAGCCTTTACAATCCATTGAACAGACTGGGGCTGTGTTGAGGTGCTAAAGCAATAATTTTGTCATTATAGTCATCAGTCAAAAGGGAAGATCTTGTGCATCTTAGCTGAAAATGAGTCTCGACTCATCAGTTTCACAGCTCTGGAGCTCCAACAGTGGGTGGCTAAAAACACATCTCTTTCTAATTTTTTAGAATTAGCATATGAAAGAATCAGTTCTCTTGAAATTCATAATTCTGTCATGTCCAAGAGATGTTCTGAGCTGTTACTTTGTTGCTACTAGGCAAATGCTTGCCCTTAGTTTAAACTATGTACCTAGAATATGCCCTTAGGACTTCTTGCTAAAGTTATGCATAGATTAAATATGGAAGAGTGTTTCCTGAAGTCACTAAACCACTGGTGTACTGAAGGTAAGAAAAACGTCCCTCCTGTGAAATGTTTTTATTTGACAAAGTGAAATAAAATAAAACTGCCACCAGAATCTGACTGGTAGTGGAAATTACCACTTATTTGCACTTAGCCAGGCAGGATTTTTTTTTGTATGTGTGAGGCCAGGCTGTGAAAACATCAAAAAGGCTTAGATTGATCAAAGTACTAGTGCAACTCATTGATGAATATTTGCAGGATTTATTCTAGACATGTACAGTAAATGTATCTTTCCGGTATGGACAGTGCATTAAAATCGTGTAATGTACTTCAGAATTGTCATTGTGTAATTTATCTAAGCAGTGCATATATTGGACCATCTTGGTCTCTAAACTTTTATATGTAATATTTCCAAACTTATACGCTGACACATGATTATATGTATGTCTATAGTTTATTTTTTGTATCATCAACGTACTCTGGAAACGAAGTGCTAAATTGATTTTTGTGACTACTTTTGCTGGAGGACAGGGTGATTAATTGGAAATTAATCTAGGCTTGAAACAGAGGAAAAACTTTTCTACATGCCAGGAAAGAGCAGTGTTGCTTTTTTTTTTTTTTTTTCATTGATAGCCTGCTTATCCACAAAGAGTTTTAATAATAAAAACCTGAATAATGAAGGAGTTTCTCAAGCCAATTATTTAACTTTTTTGACTTCAATTTCTTGCTAACAGATGTTAAGAACACTTCTAGCCTAAGCATTGGTACGCATTATAGAATGGTACAGGCTTCGTGTAGTCTTTGTATGTTTGTTGTATAGCTTTTTATGTAATTTGTATTGCACTGTGAATGTGATTGATAATAAACATTGAAAAATTAAACTGGATTCTGGAAGACTTTTTAAAATCATGAAATATTGCAAAGCATAATTACATTCTAAAGTATAAAAGTTGAATTTCTTGTTTAAACAGGGACTTTAAATAGATATTCACAGCTAACTGAAAATAAGTTTTAAATCTGCAGTCATCCATGCTCCAGAAAAGGTGAATTTTTGACAGCAGGGATTTTTCCCCAGAGTCACTGCAGATATGATTAACTTTACACAGTAGTCTTCCTAGTAAAATATGACAGAAGGTAGTCACATATCAATCTGTAGAGATACAGGTACAGAGATTCCTTGATGGAGACTGTTAAAGCACTTCTCCCTAATTTGTGTGTGCATCTGGCTGTTTCCTTTTGTTTTGTTTTTTAACTTGTTAAAGTTTTGTGCTTTTTAACTGTGCTTACCTCACTGGGTACTAGATGCATGCTACTGATGTGCTCACTGCAAAAATAGATTGTGGTGGTTATACTAGTTCAGTTAGAAAGCAGTTCCTTTGTATATGCCATCTAACATCTGAAAATCGGTAAACAGATAATAAATTCCCAAACTCGACTTTAAACTGGACAGAAACGAGTCTTCCATCTAGGGATGGTATAGGGTAACTCTCATGACATATAAATGTTTGCTAAGAACATGACAGACTGTATCAATATCATTTTCTTTGGAATATTTTGAGTAAAATGGTGAAACTTTAAAGAAATGAAGCTTTCAGTTTACACTTATTTATTGTGCAATTATTATTAAATTATTGTGCAAATTACAGTTTAAAAAAAATCTTGTACCCCAATTGGATCTGAGTTGCCTAGTAATCTTTGATGTAGTATCTAAGTCATAGCAAAGCTGTCCTTAGGTATTTTTAGAATTTTTACCAATCATATCCTCAAATACGAACATGCAGAAGCTTTGTCTGTGCCCCAATTGCTAGGAAGTTACCTACTTTCTTTTGTTGTATCTAATAATCATGCAAAAAAGGCATGTATTTAAGTCATCCACATACCAGGATGCACTTACATAACTGGGACAGATTTATTTTTTTAATTCCAAAAAACAGCCTGAAACTTTATGACAAAATATGTGCTTCAGTCATTCTAATAGGGACAAAAAAAGGAGTTTTACTGACTGAAGCATGAGTGAGAACTCTGTAGCTGAATATCTTCTCCTAAATGCTGGCTTTTAAGTGTTTAGGCTTTATTCATACAGCATTCAGCTTTCTGTGCATATTTGAATTAGCATTGCTGATAATATCGTATAGAAGGTGTCAATTCCCCAGGCTTTTTTACTAAAGATTTAATAGAACCTGGTGTGAAATTGATCTTTTAAGACCTCGTAGCAGCCCAGGTACCTACCTAAGTAGTTCCAAAACTCTAGGATTTTTGCTCTCAGGTTCCTTGTTGACTCCTTTGGACCTTTGTGCCATTTCTTTTTTGAATTAATGTGAGTAAGCCTTCTGAATCCATAAGGGTGACAGGTCTTTGGAGGTCTGCAGGAGCGGCTCTTCCAAGGCATGTTTAAACGTGATCTAAACCACGTAAACTCTACTCAAACAGTATTAAAAGCTATGAATAAGTGCCGATTGTAGGTATTGTCTCTAGCATGCATGGACTTGAGTGGGATGGTGCAAGTGGGCTGTAGCACTTCATTGTGTGCTGTAGTACTGCATTCTTGCTGCAGTGTGTGTTGGAAGGCAGCTTTGTGGTGGTCCACCCCGTTCCCTGGACACTGCAGAGCTCACACTATAAGCTATAGCAATTTGCTGAGGGTAACAATTTCTGAAAAATAATAACTTGCTGTATTGCCGGCCTGGAAGTTTTCCTTGAAGCTCTCTAGTCTGACTTCTGTCTCTCAACACAACCGTCTCCGTATGGGAAAATTTTACAAGCATCAAACCTGGTAAAAGCAGGATGTACAGGAGGCTTCACTGAGTGTTTGGGAGTCAAGATGTGTTAACAGACCAGACATTAATATCTTGGTGTCCAGTTTGATAGAAGAATGCTTTTTACTGCTTTCATCTCTTCAGAATGCCTGGTTGCCATAAGACTGTTGCTGGTAATGTTTGCGGTCATGCAGTCTTCCTGATGCATATGTAGTCATCACTGGTTCTGAGAGAGAGAAGAAAAGCAGGGGGAAGTGAGAGAAGCTTTTAAAAAAGCTCTACAGTTTTCTAAGTACACAAAGAAAAATGTGCAACCACTCATTCCTTTATATTTTTTATGCATCTAGGATAATCCCCAGGAATGTATTGTACAATTTCATGGCTAGAGTATCTGAGTATCTTCCCAGAATGTATTCAGCAATGTGACCAGCATCTGTCAAGTACAAGTCATCCTATTTCCAGTTGCACAAGGATTTAAAATTGCCAGTGTTGTCAAGGGTCTAGAGATCTTCCAGATACATATGGATTTCCCTCTCATCCTTCTATTAAAATGGCTATAGAAAGTTTGTCCTTAAAAGCATCAGATGAAGTTAATAGGTAGGGAATTACAGTGAGGTTAAGAGGCTCTTGAACACCGATTAAATGAGTGTCTGATGTTCCCAAGCTGCAAAGGCTAAAAGCAACATGCTGTTACAGATTCTACCCAAATGAGGCTAAATTTAAGGCTAGGCACCTCTGCAGCACTGGGAGCTAAAAGGACTCTGTCTGGATGACAGTGGTACATATCTCTGCTTTTCTGCTTTCATTTTATCCCAAGTATTGTGGTGATGAAGTCCCAGTTCATAGAGTCATGTGAGAGTCTCCACTTCCATTTTTAGGTACCTTTTGTCCTTGTGGTAGTGAAGAAAACTTGAAAAGCCTTTAAACTCAATGTCTCAAAAATAAAAAAAATCGAAACAAACTTTTGAAGGGCTGGGGGAGGGTGGAATGACCGTTGACTTGTGATTTCTGAGCACTGAAGGGAGCAGCAGACTTACTTCCCCCTACTTACTGGATGCTGACTGCTGTAGGGGAGATTTCCCTCCAACTGCACATACGGCAGTGTGGAGGCAGATAACTTTCAGCTCTTCTAGGCAAGATACACAATTTGTTTCCCCACTAATACAAGTGTAAGATGCATTCTTTGATCCTTTTTTATTAGGTAGGTACTTGCATGCATTTAAGATACAGAGTGGTAATACTGATAGGTTTTTGAAAGCTGCTGGCAGTCCTCTCCGTTATGTGTTACTGTCTTAGAAGGAGAAAGATAAATCGAAGATCTCCCTAAGCACAAAACTTTGAACTTGTCAGATCCTGGGAAGTGAAGCTGGCACATTTTGCTCTAAAGAGTAAATGTTTCATGATTGTGGAAGTACTTTTTTTTTTTTTTTTTTTTTTTTTTATTCTGTATGAATGTGCTGATCGCTTTATGAGGGGAGACCTTCCCCCCCTTTTCTGAAGTCCCTCCATAAAAACCACTTCAGGGGCTTTTTTTTAAAGGCTTCTGGAGATTAAATGGAAGGGCTGTGCTATGACCTGAGGGCATCTTTTGATAGCTGCCCCAACAGGTGCTAAAGGATTGGATTCAGTGTTAGAGGTAAAGACAATCTTTTGAAGCTCTGAGTGCTTTTTGCTTCTCTTTCTAATAGTATCAGAAACATTTTTAGTCACGAGAGGGTTTAAAAAGACAGCTAGCCATCCCTAGATGAGATTCTGCTTTGCATTTTTTCCACAGAAGAATAAAAGTTACTCCACAGCGATAATTAACTCTCTTTTCTTGTTTGCAGGTGGATGTTTGTGCTTCATGATAACACTTCAGTAATTTTACTCATTGTGAAAGGAGAATAAGGGAGTTGATCTTTTATGTCTCTTGCCAGTAGCTGCCAATGTTTGCTCTGGTTTCAAGGATGTTGTATCAAGGTTTCATCAATGGTATCTGATCTACCAATGAAGCAAATTTTACACAGCCTCTGCACATTTCAGAGGAAGGTGTTATACTGGGCTTTGGTGTCTATTTCTTTAATCAGATACAACTAGAATCACTGCCGATGGAGGCTTCTACGTGCAGGCTGGGAATGCTGCAGAGACTTGGAGGTAAGGGATATGAATTAACCTCCTGGGCCTTTCCAGTTCTTATTTCCCTCCACTACTCCTCCATGACACTATGGCGTGTTTGTTGTCTTTTACTTCTCTGGCATCTAATCAGAGAGAGCAGATTTTTGTAGAAGAAAATGCTTTCCTGTTGAAATTCACCAAAATACTTCTAGGTATTTCAATTAGAGATGCTTCTTTTGTGTCTCTAGTCCATGTTAAACTCTGCGTGACCCTGCTCCTCAGATGTTAAACATTACTTGAGTGTAACTTTCTTGATACCCTGATATACTATGGGCAGCCCTTGTACGGCTGAATAATGACTCCATTCAGCTTTGGTATACATGTATACATTATTTTATCCTGACCGTATCTCTTATACTTCTAGTTTCCAGAGCATTCCTCCCTTGGGAAGACTTCATGTTTGTGCTATATTTTATCAACATGTTAACATCTGGCTTTGTAAATTCTTTATATTCTCTAGGTGCATAAGAGCATCTGTAGTTCATCCTTTCTCAAGAAAACGTGAAAACTGTTGCACATGTCTTTAAAAAGAACAACAGTCTACAACCTGCTCCCTATTTATTCATCTTGTTTGGTGTTCCTATAGAAGTGCATAGCAAATGTAAATGCAATTCTGTGTAAATTCCTATCAAAGGGTAAGATAATTTGCTAAAAGTTACACAGGATAAGATAACAAAAAATTATTTGCATATAAAAGCATTTATTGAAATTAGTAGCCTCACCACTTTCTGCCATGGGTTTCCTGTGTCACCCATCATTTGGCCCTGAGCCCACCGTGTACAGCTGTGGATTTACTAGAGGTAGAACTAGAGGGCTGGCTGTTGTCTCCTCCTGACATGTGACGTGTGTGCGATTCTAGGCATGGGAAATGAAGATAGCTGCGCAACACCTTTCCTGGGCTGGGATGCATCTGCTCCTGATGAAGTCATGCATACATAAAATAATCTGGCAGGAAACCTCTCATAG